CTCATTCCTCCTCCTCGTCCTCCTCCTCGTTTTCCTCCTCCTCCTTTCCTCCTCGTCCTCCTCCTCGTCCTCCTCCTCGTCCTCCTTCTCGTCCTCCTCCTCCTCCTCCTCCTCCTCCTCCTCCTCCTCCTCCTCCTCCTCCTCCTACTCCCACCCTTGTTCCTTATTAGAATATACTCATACTTCCCCCCTCTCCCTGGCCGATAGCCGCCCCGCCCCATCTGGGACGTCCCATCCGAACCTGCCAAAAACAATACAAAATCAACATGTTTCGTCATTTTCCCTCTCAGCATGGACGTCCTGTCGTCCACGTCGATAACCCTCTACAGAATAAACCAGAAAGTGCACATGCGCGCGGTCATGCCAACATCCTACAAAACACACGGTGTTAGCAAGCATTTCAAAAAAAAAAAAAAAAAAAAAAAAAAAAAAACGAACACACACTGTTTTCCTCATCAAATCTCAGAATTCCTGCCCGCGCGCAAGTGCTGAAATCATATGAACACCATGCGATGTTCAGGATTACGTGAACAAGCCAGCGATGTCATGGCCGCGCGTGCTGGGTCCCGGGTCCTTGGCCGCGCGGCGTGATCCTTGCGCGCGCGCTGGGGGGGGGGGGCACGATCCGTGTCCAATCATACAATGCGGGCCACTCTCGCGCGTCGGCCGCGCGCGCATGTCGAACTCTGTCCAAAACCTTCACCACCGACGCGAGGACGCCGTCATCGTCGTCGGCGTGATCAGCCTCGGCGTCCGCACTGGCCGCGCCGTCGTCCTTGCCAACATCGTCACCAGAATGGCTACGATCAGTATCGTGTCTACAGCTGTCGACGTTGCCATGATGTCGCGCCCGCCCAGATCGCCCATTCGCACTGAAGTGCCCGCTAGGATGTGCCCAGCGGTCAGCGCCACCGCGGTCGCGTCGGTCGCGCCAAACTAGCTGGCCGCTGCGCGCGCGTGTTTGGGTTGGCGCGGCCGCAGAGATGCACCAGCCAACGCCAAGCACGCATCGCAATCGCAACCGCATGGGCTTTGCAAGCCAAGTTGCGGGTGGGTGGGTGGGATGTTTGCAAGAACACGGAACGTGCCTACTCCTTTGGAAAAAAATCACCCCGCAAACAACACGACGTCGACTGCACCGGTTGGAACGCACCACGTCGAGTGTACCGCGTAACTTGCGCATCACGTAACTTGTACCACGCGGATTGCGTCACATAGCACCACATACATTGCACAACGTGTAAATATATATAGATGTATAGATATATAGATGTCTATTGCACAACACACACAGAAGCTGCACAACATGGATTGCACAGCGCTGATGTAGTTAATAGTCGGTGATCGGCCCAATCGCAACTGTTTTGTTCGACATCCCTTGTGGGGTTCTAAGGGATCCGTTGCATCCAGAAGCGTTCTTGAAAGCTTCCTTTGCGCCAGAACAATGCGACCACTTCCCAACCATCGCAACCACTTCGGCCCGATCACAACCAGTTGTGATCAGGTCCGAAGTGGTCGGCGGTCGGCCCGAAGTGATTGAACTCCGCCGGATCCCTCGGTGCCCCTCGTGGGCGGAACGCCAAGCGCAGCGGCCCCCATCAGGCGTAGACTGGCCACCAAAATCTGCCAGCGCCCGCGCGCCCCTCCCTTCTCATCCGCCTTCCTAGAGGCCTCCCAAGCGGGGTCCGATGGGGTCGGAGGATCGTGCCGCATCGCCGATGCATCGCCAACGCATCGCCGACACATCGGCGATGCATCGGCGACATACCACGACACCAACTGTCCGAACCCCATCTGGGAGGCCTAGACTCCTCAGAACTGCATCGTTCTGGGGGTAATTGTACAGTCAACCCGCATAGTAAAGATGGGCAACCTTTCAAAGTGTACCCCCTTGCATCCTTGCCCCTTCGGCCCATCCTTAGCGACTTTCGCTGGCCAGCCTCGTTCGAAAAACGTGAAGATGGGCCTCCAAGGCCCTTGCACCCTTACCGCGGATCCTTATGATACGGGTTCACTGTTGTCCGTGGGCGGCATATGGAGTCTGTGTAATCTGTGGGAGGGGTACCTGTGTAGTCAAGGTGGGGGCGGGGGCAATCCTGTAGTCCGGAAGGAATGCCTTTAGGCCAAGGGTGGGGCTTTGGGGGTACCTACAGTGGGATCGCGAGCGAGTCATGGTCGCGTTGCAAATAGCGCTGCGCACTTGAAAGCCGCCAGCGGCGGCTGACGCTAGGCACCGCTGAGGCCAAAGGCCAGTTGCGGTCGCGTTGCAAACAGCCCTGCGCACTGGGCAAACGCGCTCGGCGGCTGGCACTAGGCACCGCTGATACCAAAGGCCAGTTTCGGTCGCGTTGCAAACAGCGCTGCGCACTTGACAAAAGCGCTCGGCGGATGACAGTAAGTACCCCTGAGACCAAAACAAACGTTCATGTCAACCATGCAGGCTTAATGGGATCTCAGGCGAGTTGTGGCCGCGTTGGAAACAGTGTTGCGCATTTGGCATTCGCGCTTGGCGGCTGACACTAGGCACCGCTGAAACCAAACCACACGTTCATGTCAATCATGCGGGTCCATCGCTGTTATGAAAGTGTTGACAAATCTCGTGGCTGTACCAATGCAGCACCAAACGAAGCCTCCAATGGTGGGCAGGGAGCATCGCACCATTGAGCACCAGAGCCTGCGAGCAGCATGGCGCCGCATTTTGACTTCAAATCCGAAATGTGCGAATTGAGTTTGGGAGGAGGTCATAAGCAGAATCGCCATTTCGACGTTGAACCGAACGGCCCCCGACCTCTGTTTAAGAGAAAATGTTGGGCGGAACCGCGATATCGATTTCGAACCCGAAAATTTGGATTTCGGTCGAGACTGTTTTTTGTCTAGGATGCTTCGCGCGGAATCGTCGCTTCGACTCGGGCAACCCGCTGGCCATTAAAACTCTGAAATCCGGCAACCCGAATAGTAGAACGTGCGGGTTTTCGCTTGGGACTTCCTCGGAAAAAGAAATCGATCTGAGATCGGAAGCCAAGACAGGCCAAGAGGGCCCCAAGAGGCGCCCAAGATTGTCCGAGAGGGCCCTGGGTCGGCCCAAGGTGCCAAGATGTCCAAGATGGCCTCACGACGACCTTAGATGCCCCAAGATGCCCAAAGAGAACTCCAAAAGCCTTCCCAAGATGGCACCAGGAGGCACAATTCATGAGCTCTCCTTGAGTGTTTGAGCGAGTTTCACGTTCTCACCTTTTCGGCACCCCGACGCCCCAAGAGGGTAGAGCCCCTCAAGAGGCCACCAGGAGGCCTCCGAGAGGTCACCAAAACCATCCGAGAGGCCCCCTAAACGGCCGAAGAGGCCTCCAAGACGGCCCAAGAGGGGCCCAAGAGAGGCCCACGAGGGGAGCGCGAACCCACACTGCGAGCCTTCCGCCCCAATGTGCCCCCCGAGACGGCCAGCAGGGCCCCCAAGGGGCCACCCAAAGCTGCTCCCCACAGGCATCCATAGAATAATGAAAAAGCCACATAAACATAAACTTTTGGCGCTCCGCGCGAGTTTCGTGGATTCGCGCTGGACCACCACCCCCCCTTCTGGCGCGCGGAGCGCGCCAGGGGCGGCGCCGGAGGCGCCGCCGGGGGGCCCAGGCGCGGATCCAAGAAATCCGCTCGGAGCGCTAAAAATTTAAGTTTCTGTGCGGATTTGGGGCGAAACGTGAAAACTATAGTCGAAGACTGCCCTGAAAATGCCCAAACATACAATACTAAACAAATAGCCCCACCACTACTTTTCGACTGTTTTGGAACACCCCCCCTGGTATAGAAGGACAGGCCCGACCCAAACGTAGGCAGCAGCGGCCTCTGCCGCTCGCGGGGCCTGCCGACCGCGGCCTGCGCGACCGCGGCGTGAAACCGCGGCCTGCCTGCTCGCACGACGTGGCCCCGCCGGCGACGGGGCCGCCCGCTCCGGCGCGCGGCCCCCCCACGGCCGACACCTCCGACCGGGCACCTCCGGGGCCTTTTGGGGCCCCTCGGCGGCTGCGCCGCGCGGCCCCGCCAGCGACGGGGCCGCCCAGGGGGCCGCTCCGGCGCGCGGACCCCCCACGGCCGAAGCCTCCGACCCGGCACCTCCGGGGCCTATTAGGGCTGCGCCGCGGCCTCGCCGGCCCCGGCCCAGCACGCCGACTCGCCCCCCCCTCCCCCGCAGCGCGCCGCAGCAGGCACGCGCGCGTTCTCTCCTTCGGGCGCTGCGGCACTGGGCGGAGACCGGGGGGGGGGAGAGGGAGGGGGGGTGCTGGCTGGCTGGACCTCTGCTCAGTGCCACTGTTTGCAGCAGCGCGTCCGACGGGGGAGACTTCACCTGCTCGAGAGAGGCGCCCCAAACAGCCAAGATCTACCCCATGGGGGGGGAGGTAATTACGAGGTTCCGCGCCGATCGGCGAAACAAGGAATCAGCAAACGATCACCATGCGGAGCCCTCGGCGGGAGGTGGCAGGCGCACGCTTTCCGCCTGCGCAGGAGGCGGCGAGAGAGAGCTCGATCGACCTGGTGGCCGGAGCGGGGGCCCCGCTAGCCCGAGCGTCACTTGTGGAGGCGCGGGCCCCGGATCTCCGCCGGGGTGATCTGCTTCCGGCCCCTCGCGGTTCCTCGGGCTCGGTCTCTGGGGCGCCCAGAGGGCATCAAGAAGGGCTCCAGGACGAAAGGCTGCTCCAAGGAACGGGCTCGGGACCTCTGGGGGCGCGGATCGAAGAATCACACCGTCGGATGCCCGGGGCATCTGCCGAATCGCCGCGCGGGGGCGCGGCAGTCGTGGGCTGCCGCGTGCGGTCTGGAGCCAGCCCCAGATGGTGTCAGCATCTAGCCGAGTCGCCCCGCGAGGGCGCGACAGTCGTCAGCTGCCGCGCGCCGCCTCGACTCTAATTACCCTAAGTCTAGCCGGATCGCCCATCGAGGGCACGACAGTCGTGAGCTGAGGCGCGAAATCTCGACGCTGCCCGCAATTGGAGGCCTTCGCCAGACTTCTACTCGGGAGGAGAACGCGGCACCGTCGGTCCCCCTCGCTAGCTGCCCCTGCTGCCCGGGCCGAGCTCGCTGGCAGAACAGCGCGTGGAGAAACGCGGGGGGTGTTCGCCCTACCTGTGGGCTCCATGCCGAGATCGACGACCTCCGCCTTGGGGGGCACTTGTGGACAAACTGGGCTGGTGGACAACAAGAAACGCTTAGCCCGCTCCAGAAAGCAGGAACCCCACACTACATTCGCATCTCCTGGAGGGTGCATCTCTTACCTCCGCCGGCTCGTCCGCCGACCCTCCGCCGGCGGCGCAACCCCCACTACACTTCCGCCACCATCCGCTGGCCTTCCGACGCACTTCCACCAAGGAAGAGACTCCTTCTCCTCCTCCTCCTCCTCCTCCTCCACCTCCTCCTCCTGCTCCTCCTCCTCCTCCTCCTCCTCCTCCTCCTCCTCCTCCTCCTCCTCCCCCTCCTCGAAGGCAGGGCCATTTCTGGATGCCCAACTTGCCTCTCGGACGGACTCCAACGGTGTGGACACCCGGACCTGGCTGCTGCGTGGGCGACGGCCGCGGGACGTGCGCACGCTCCACGCGGTTTTTGGGTGACAGGCGGGTCCGCCAACGTGGCGGCGCTCAAAAAAGGGGGCAGGGGGTGAGATACAGTCGGGGCGTTGACCTAAGGAACGATAAATAAGGAACGAGGCCCCTTTTTCCCATAAGTTAAACTCCGATTTCCCATGGAAAACCTAAGGAAGACCCAAGGAGCACTGTAAAACAACGAAGGAACACGGAGCCCCTCCCAAACGGAAAGGGTTCCTTCTTCAGCGGCCCGACTGTTGAGAAGGCGAGGGCCTTCCAGGAGCCGGGTGTTGCCAGAAGTGTCCCTGGCCCAAGGCGCCCCGAGGATTTCCGAGGAAGCCCCCACGGCCTCCAGAGCACCCCTCGCGAGGCCCAGCGGGCCCAAGCGAACCAGCATGGGGGCGAGAGGCCGGGGACACCTCGGGCCAGGACCGCTTGCAGTGCCACACGACAGAGACTTGCCATCGCTCGGACGTCAATTCCCCGTGCATTGTTCGGCATCGTGCGTGCCTTTTGGCCTCGATGATCAAGGATGCTCCTCGATGGTCCTCGCCGACGTGGACCATCGAGAAAGGAGGAGGAGGAGGAGGAGGAGGAGGAGGAGGAGGAGGAGGAGGAGGAGGAGGAGGAGAAGGAGAATGAGGAGGAAGAGGAGGAGGACGAGGAGGAGGAGGAAGCCACGGGCTGAGGAGAGCGGGGCCAGCCGTCGTGTCGTCGGCCCGCCCCTTGCCCCTCGTGGCCGCGCGCAGCGGCGGCTGCGATCGGCAGCTGCTGCAGCCGCGCGCCGCAGGCGCTGCGGGCTGCCTCGCCTGGGGCCGCTCCAGCAGGAGGCGGCTTGCGCGGACGCCTGGCCCCCAGCCAGGCCGCGCGGGAGGCTCCGCCACGCCGCGCACCGCGGGCGAGCCAGCCTGGCACAGAAGGGCCAGGCATCAGCGCGCAGAGGCCAGGGTGCTTCTGAAGCTCTGCTCCGCGGCGCAGGTGCTGGAGCAGCACCACTCAGCGCAGCAGCACCAGCGCAACAAGCAGCACCAGGACCAGTGGTATCAAGACGAGGATATGGCGCCGTGGAATCAGCAGAGTGGGCAGTATCAGAAGTACTACACACAGAAAGATCAGCAGACTTGGAGGGACAAGGCCCCATGGACGAGAAGAGGGAGTAGAAGTCAGTCAAGACCACGCGATCAACAGCATCGCGACCGGGATGGACGGCTACGAAAGATATATGACGACATATCTATCGCCAAGGCGGATGAAGCAAATGAACACTCGATATATGTGGCGCCACCTGAAGGAAATCAACAGATACAACAGTACAAGAAGGATGCCAACCAGAGGATCAACAAGCTGTTGAAGATGATCATGGCGGCGAGAGAGGCGGATCAAGGTTGCACATCCCAGGTGGCAGAAGTCAAAGTACTGAAATATATGCTGATGATTGTGAAACCAAGCTTCAAGCAACGGAGAATCCTAGAGAATGATATCGAGAAGCTGGAGGCTCAGATCAAGAATATTCAAAATGAGAAGAAAAAATTGGCAGATCATGAACCGGAACTGAGACAAAAGAGGGAGCACACAGACGAGTTACTGAATGAATTGAAGAGGAAGCTCGAAGAAGAGGACGAGGATTATCTGATGGAGGATGAGGACGACATGCGACATAGAAAGATGGATGAACATGAGATGGGAACACGTCGGGCTAACGTATCATCAGGCTCGAGTTGCATGCCAGCGTCACAAAGAATGGAGCATGGACATCATGGTGAAGGACCCAGTGCGGAGGTTTTGGCGATGATCAATCAAATGAAAGCACTGACGGATATGGTTACGGCGCAGGCGAATAGACAGGAAGAGCTACATCAGGCACTATTACGCTCGGCCCAGGCCGAGAACAAGTCGAACTATCTTCAGACACAGCTAATGGCGGAGTGTGCGAGGCTGAAGGAGCAACAGGAGACTCAGTATCACCAGTTGCAAGTACAGCAGCAGCGCGCATTGGCAGAGCAGACGATTAGCATGCAGAATATTCAGAATCAGCATCTTCAACACCAGCAGTTGGAGGAACAAAGGATTGAATGGATAAGGAGACAGACTGCGGAGGCGTTCAAAAATATTACTCCAGAGCAGCATCAACAGCAACTCCAACAATGGTACAAAGAACAGGAGGAGCAGGCTATGAAGGAGGATGCAGAGGATCTTGCTCGTTTTGCCCAAGAATTTCAACATAATGAGATATTGCAGCAGCAACTTGGTATTATGGAGGCAATACAGAGATCAAATACTCAGATGGGAGTGACGACACCAGTTGGGGGCACAGCTACACCGAGGAGCGGAGGAGTCGAACCTCCTGCTCCACAATCTTCCAGAAGAAAGTGAAGTGGATCAGGCAATACGGATGGCGGAGGATGAGTTAGTGAATGCACGAATGATACATGAACAAGGCTCATATCGGACAACGCAGAAGATCACAGCGAAGGATGAAATGGACGTGAAGATGCAGGAGGAAGAAATAAAGGCAGTGGTGGCATCGCATGAAGCGGTAGAAGTGGAGTCATCGATTGCCCCCACATCACCTGTGCCTACCGAGGTTCCAACGGAGCAGGCGACGTCCAAATGTGCAGGGGAGGACCCGTACATATTGGCAAGAGGATGGTCCCCCGAGGTGTTGCAGTACAAAGGATATCATCAACATCATGGTAAGGGCCCTTCCAAGGAGTTTGGAGGGAAAGCTATGCAGCCGTTCGGTCGTCGCCAAAAAGGATCTGGAGAGCATGTGGATTACCCGACGCCGACATCAATAGCGACACGTATCACGCCAACGGAGCCGATGACACCGGTGGGGAAGCCTCAGTATTTTCATTTTGGTACTCCTGGGAGTTCTGAACAGAGCAACGAATCTAGTGATGGAGTTGCTCGGCGACCCCCTCCAGCTAAAGTCAGGATGGGGGAAATACCAGGAGGAGATGGATTTGACCATCCAGGAGATCGTGTACGCATACCTTCGCAGACAAGACAATCTGTGGAGGGTGAGAATATCGCAAAAAAGTGAGATGGAAGACTTCACCTGGGAAAGATGGCTGCCCAGGTGGAGTGCATGATAGGGCCACAGATTTTGGAATTACAAGTACTCGACGGGGACCAATGTCGGATTGCGGGAGATCCAGGCTAGCATCGTCGGGGGCGAGTAGGTGCATGGAGCCAGCAGGCTCATCCGTGTATACCTCGCAGGTTTCAAGTTACATACCGAATGATGGTGGTGGTATCGAATACAGGACAGATGCTACACATCACGAAGGTAATGTTTTTTTGTGATGTTCGTGGACGGGGCCGCTGTCGGGTAACCACGGCGAAACGTGAAGGACATGCTCGATTGGGCGAAGGTCCTTGCTCCCCGTCTACAACGTCGATGGCACATGGTGCAGCTCCTCCCACAACTGGTTTGGAGCACGCGATGAGGCCGACAACACCACGCAGTGCTTCTAGGTGCCTTGCACTGGATGAGCTACTAGAGCCACCACGCTGCTGCAAGGTAAATATCCCAGACACCTTCACGGAGATGATGCGTCGGATGGACCACCCCATGCAGCTTGCCCAGGACTTCAGCAACATTGAGATGTCGGAGCTGGCCAGGCTACCCTTGTTGGTGGAACCCAGACGGACCGATGGATTGGCTAGGCCAATGCGCGGGTACATATGGACGGATGGATCTCACAAGGAAGCGGACCCCCATCTTGACGAATGGGCTGTGGTGGTCAGCAACCAAGTCGAGAGCGAATACGTATTCCAAGGATAGTTGACGGCACGGACGATTGAGAGCTCACGGATTATCGGAGAGGGCAGTCATATGGATAGTACCACATCGGAGATTATGGCATTAATATGGGCGCTACTGTGTATTATTATGTATGATGATGATGAGATGGAATGGGCGATCACATCGGACTCTAAGATTGCGCTCGGCATCACTCGTGGGAAGCATGGTTACCAGCCGAACTGGAAGTTGGCGGTCTTCCTGGATGCCTTGTCACGGGAGGCACGGTATAGAGGCAAAGTGTTCTTCAAATACACAAAGTCACACGACCTGGACCCATGGAATCATTTGGCGGACAATATAGCACGGTCCAATTTGGTAGTACGACACGAGGTCCCGCACATACAGGTAGCGGAGAGCATCGGGTACGGCCTCGGTCTATGCTGGCAGTGGTTGAGGTATGATCAAAGATACTCACACTGCTACCCACAGATACGCGATGATGGATTGTATTTTCATGAACCAGATGGATGTACACAGAACATGGCAGTATCGGACACAAATGAGATGAGGAGCAAGCTGTACCCGAATGGTAGATATGAGAAAGATCAGACCGCAAAAAAGAAAGAAGGGGTACCAGTCAATTTTGAGATGGCCACATACAATGCTATGTCACTCACGGAGG